TATATAAACATAAAAACTAATATGCGCCTTCGGCGCTAGTTTTAAAAGTTTCACTGCAACTGCCCATAACACAACATCTAAAAACTCTCTCTCTCAAAAAAGAAAATAGAAAAAAAAACGCTGACTGAAAAATGTATATCGTTTAAAAGTATACTGAATGACCAGTGTTATTATGGTACAGGGCTATGACTTCCTCTCACAATTTGGCGGTGCAATTTCGGCGAGAGTCTGAAATCCAGAAACAGTCGACCGTTTCAGGATAGGTGGGCGTGGCTACAACATGAGAAATATCCCAAATTTACTTGGATACGAGTAATCATTTTCAGCAAATTAAATCAATAACTGCCCATTTCATTGGGATACAGATCTAAAATGGGAAACGTGAGGGTGGGCATTGCACAGGCACTTTAAATTGTTATAACCATCTGAGTCCACCTGATATAGCACAATTTACAAAACAACTCACAAGTGTTGAGTAACCCCAGGTATTAATGAATTCGTCGTTGGTGGGAAGGCTCAAAGTATAGTTTCCTAGCGAGACGCGCTGCAGTTTCGCGACAGTTTTGGGCCAAACTAAAAGTTGTTTTTACATTACTGGTGCATTATGTATCAAATTCAGATTTTTAAACCGAGGTGGGAGAGTACGGAAAACTTGAATATAATGGTTTGATGGACTTTGTCAAATCAAAAGTGCCTTCCTTGAGCGAATCACTTTCAACTGCAGTTTGAAAATGACGAGGTATGACGACCATTATTATGTCTCGTCCATTATTGTAACTGGTACAACGTACTAAAATGAGCAAGGGGTTAACATTTTTCGACAAATTTAAACAACACCTAGCTTGTGATTTTCAAAATTACTGAAAATAATTACAATATAAAAAATAAAGAATGGTTGTTGTAAACGCACGCTAGATAATACTTACAATTCACCAAGCTGACAACCCCTATGAAATAGTAATCCCAAACCACGCGCCCGTCACTCAAGTGGCGCCGACAAGTCTAGATTGGGCAAAGACCAAAGTGTTTTGCAAAGGTGCAAGTCATTTTGCTAACTGACTGTCCAAATAATTCTCAGAACGGCTGTAAAGGGTGAGAATGTATGAAATTGCTAGTGACACTAAAATGCAATTGAGTTTGGCTTGGAAGTCTATGATACAAATTTTTAAATCTAAATTCTGTTTTTGCAGGGTGATTTTGTTCATGAATATGTTGGTGAATTAGTTGATGAAGAAACTTGTCGTGAACGAATCAAAAAGTGTCAGCAATTGGATATAGATAATTTTTACATGTTAACAATCGACAAGGATCATGTAATCGACGCTGGACCAAAAGGAAATTTAGCGAGGTTCATGAATCATTCTTGTGATCCAAACTGTGAAACCATGAAATGGACAATTCTTCCAGATACCCGAGTTGGCTTGTTTGCCAAGAGGGATATTACTGCTGGTAAGTCAAATGCCATAGTTTATGTAAAATAGGGGGGGGGGGGGTTACGGGTAAGCTTTACCTGGGAGCCAATGAATATTTGGATTACAATTTCAATTATATTAGATAACTCATGAGTTTACTAGTTCTTTATAAGCCGTAGTCAACCTTTATTCTTTCAACAAATGCATAACTTTTAAAAAACAAGACTTGTAGCCAATGGGGAATTTTATCCATTAGCACATGTCTTGCAGTCTTGTGCAAGTTTATCACTATTGTCTGTGTTGTGTTGTGTTGCAGATTTATCTTTTTCTTCATTGAATTTAAAATCCTGGAAGAGTTTATTTAGGAATACTACATAATCATTTAAAAAGAAATGTGGGACACCATTATGATAAATTATTCACATGAATTTCATCAATTTTAAAGTGCGCATATTCAAATTTCATTTGGACCCATATCGAGCATAGTGCAGTGATTGTACGTAGTGATTTTAAATTGAGTGAAGTGATGTGATGAATGTTTCAGTATTGAATTCATTAGTTTCCTTTTAATGGAATTTCTAGTGTGTGTACATTTTTATGTGCAATACTGATTATTGTTTTATCTACTTTAGGTTCTGAGTTGACCTTCAATTACAATTTAGATTGCTTGGGTAATGAGAAAAAGAAGTGTGAATGTGGTGCCAAGAATTGCAGTGGATATATTGGTGTTCGGCCTCGGGTAAGCTTGTTGTAATCCAGAGACTTATAATTCAGTGTCTATCTGTCCTGAGTCATATTTCGGAACCTCTGTACCGAATCTGTTCATTCCTTGTATGTGCCTACTACAGGACATGTGCACCTGCTGTGGATTAGAGATTGATCCCTGATGGCTGATTGGCAGCCATTTTGTTTTTTGAATATGTTGGATCTTGGACATGCTTTGTCAATTTTTGTTCAAATTTAGTGCATACATTATACATGTTAGGATACATGTTCGTGAATTGTACTGAATTATGTTTATACAAGATTAGTTTATCATACACCCAATTACTGACTATACATTAGAAATATATTCAGAAACAAGTATATTCATATGACCAGTGATGTGCATATCCGATTTGATTGCACATATTAGCATGGAGCAGTACATGTCCATAAAAATTCCTTTTGTGATCAGATAAAAGACAGCAGACGTGCAGCCATCTTGCTTTTTATTCCCCATAAAATCAAGAGAGACTGTTTTTAATAATGTCTTGTTTTTACAGTCTTTACCTCAAGAGGAGAAGAAACAAAAGAAAAAGAAGCGAAAAAGGAAAAAGAAAAATAATCTAGAGAAACATGAGCATGAAGATGATTGTTTTCGATGTGGGGAAGGTGGTGAATTGGTCATGTGTGACAAGAAAACTTGTCCCAAAGCGTATCATGTGAAATGTCTTGGTCTCTCGAAAAGGCCTTATGGTATGTCTAATTGTTCTTTCACTGATAAAGTATGCCATCACATAGCCTCAACTATGTGTTTTATGAAATTGGATTTTAAATGTGTTAAGACATCACTATAGCTGTTGAGTGAAAGAAACTCAATACCTTAGTCATATTGTAATTCTATTTTTAGCTCAGCTGTCATTGTAGATGACTGAGCGGAGCTGTTCATATAGGTGATTGTCAGTCGTCGCCATTTATTGCATTTTCGACTATTTCTTGAAAACTACCAGCTAAATTGCTTTGTACTTGGTATGTGTAGGTACATTTTTTTTGTACCTTGGGTGGACCTCTATCAGATTTGTTCATTTCGTGACATCTTCAAATTTCTATTCTTGGCTACTATTTTTGTCATTTTTGGTTTTAAAAAACAAAACACAAAAAAACTATTTTCAACTTCTTAACTCTAGTTCAATTACTTTCAAAGTGATACTTAGTATCAAATTGAGCTGGCAATTTTCAAGAAGTCTTATGGGTGTTAATTGCTCAACTTTGCTACCACAATGCTCTTGTTGGACAGCAGAGCTATTTCGTTAGTCAGGTCGCTTGTCTTTCAATCAGAATTTTAGTTGCTCAGAATTTTTGTGATTGATGACTTAATAGCATGTGGACACAATTCCATGATAGTCGTTGACTACAAGTCTTTTGGACCCCAGTGAAATGTTCAATGCTACAAAATTTGTCTTTCAAAATCAAAAGTGTACAGTATTCTGTGCTAGCACTGAGTCATAACAATAGTTAGCCACATGGTTTTTTGTCTAATACAAGTTGTAATACTAGAATTATGTGGGGGGAAAAAATTCCATCATTGTATTGATCTCCTGCTTTATATTGGACATCATTTTACATGCAAAATACTTTGCAGTATTATCCTGATTTGTTATTTTAGCCATCTTGCCTTGTTGCTTGTCCTGACTCTTTATTTGTTGTATTTTACCAACAGGAAAATGGGAATGCCCCTGGCATCACTGTGATACCTGTGGTAAACAGTCAACCAAGTTGTGCATAGATTGTCCTAACTCTTATTGTGAAACTCATTCAAACATTTTAACAAAACACAAAGGAAAACTGTACTGTGAGGAACATGATCTTGACAACATCTCTTCTGAAAAGGACTCATCCAGTGATCTCAACAGCAAAGGAGATATTTCATCAGAAGAAAGTGCAAAGCCATCCCCAAATCCATCTGAACATGTGGAGAGTGAACTTAACAATGAATGACTTCTAACTGGAAGACATGGGCATTCTGCAACTCTGCTCAAATGTACATGTTAAAATGAGACATGATTGCAAGGAATACATCTTTGGTGCTTGGTCTGTTTCTTGATGACTGAACATTTATTATAGCAAGGTCGACCTACATTTGTTGATATGTGCACACCGGCTGCTTGTTCATCTTTTTAAACATTTCAAGAACTGACAATGTTTGGCATTTAGGGGGGGGGGTCTCCAAAATTTCAATTTAGACTGTATTATTCGGCTATCTGGCCTTCCTCTGAGTGGTGTGGCAGTGCTGGTTGAAGATATTTTCATTAGATTGTTTTTTATTTTTAATTTTATTTGTGTACTGTACATTTCTTTATTGAATATTAACTGCCATGTACGAATATTAAAATGCCCGTTGTTAAAACAAAACTAAATTTGACAATTCTATCAGATGTTTTTCAATAATACTGTAAAGAAGGTTCCAATATTTTTAGAACACTTTATGCAATTGGGTAGATATATAATTACTGTATAGCATGAGTGTGTGACAAGAAATGTACTACTTATTGCACATGGCCTTGTGGCAGTTCCTGCATATTTTTGTTAACAAAAAAAAAAAGGCAACCTTGTTGACTATTATTTGGCATGATCAAAAGATGTAGCCATAACTGTAAGTGAGCTTTAAAGCAATGTATTTTATAATTTTCACCTCCCTTTTAAAATTGTCTAAAATTTTCCATGCAAATTGGGTATCGAGTATTTTCTATAACTTTCACTGTATTTCTGGTCCACAGTAGGGAGCGGTTTAAAAAAAGGAATCTCTAATTTTTATACACTAGTAAAACAGATGCTGGGTTTCTCTGCTGAATGCAACTTGACTCATCCTTTATGCATATTACTGTTGTAGTGCTGTAGACAATTGAAAAGTTGCTGGAAATGAAATGTTTTACCTAAGTCAGGTTTTCTTTTTTTGCCTCAGTTTTTGTCACATGTACAGAACTCAATCTTGGGAATTTTTTAAAAAAGAATGAAGTTGTAACAGTTGCATTAATAATAATTTAACAATAAATTGTTTTATGCATTTATTGAAGTAATCCTCTTAAGAGTAGATGTAAAGTGTCAATTTTTTTATCCTGTATTTTTTATCAGAAGACCATCAATAAACAAGTCTGTCTTGGTAATATTTCTGTTGCTTTAATCTACATACACACATGTTTGTACAACTGAACAGTCCTATGTCTATTACAGTGTCCAGGCAAAATCTTTGAGCATAGTCTGATTTTAAATGTGTACACTAATAAATAATGGCGTAATTTATTTAAAAAATAAACCCCAATATTTTTTTACTCCCATGTGCGAAGCACCAAATGGGAGTCTTTGCAGTTAGTGTGTCTGTGTGTGTGCCCCCGTCTGTTCTACTGATATCTCAAGAACCGTACATCAGTTTTTAAAGAAACTTGGTGCACAGATGCTCTGAGCCAATATGCAGATTTGATTAGGTTTTAGTAGATTCCTTGCATATTAATTACCTAATTTGCATGATAATTAGCTGATTTTTAGCTGTTCCATGACTGTTCCGCTGATATCTAAACAACCACTCATTGGATTTTGATGAAACTTTGTACAAAGATGCTCTAAACTAATGCTAGGTTTTGATTAGTTTTTGGTAAAAGTTACCTAATTTGCATAACAATTAGTCAATTTTCGTTTTTTCCACAGATATCTCTGGTACTAATCATCACATTTCAATGAAACTTGGTACATAGATGTCATAGGACACTGCACAGACCTTGTAGTTTTTTGGTGTAATATCAGTGCATATTAATTACCTAATTTGCATAATTAATTTTCAGCTTTCGATGTTCCAAGTATTACATTTCAATGAAACTTTGTACATAGATCCTTTAGGACTATCCAGAGACTTGATTAGTTTTAGGGTAAATAATTGTGCATATTAATTACCTGATTTGCATAATTAATATTTTCAGCTTTCACACTGATTTCTCAAGTATTAATCATCACATTTCAATGAAACTTTGTACATGGATGCTGTAGGACAAGACAGACCTGGATAATTGTGGGTTAAAATCTGTACATATTACTAATTTGCATAATTAACCACTTTTAAGCTATCACACTGATATCTAAAGTACTAATTATTCCATTTCAATGAAACTTAGTACAAAGATGCTCTAGGACAATGTACAAACCTGATTAGTTTGGGGTTAAAATCTGTTCATATTTATTCCCTAATTAGCATAATAATTCATAATTTCCAATTACATTTCAATAAAACTTGGTACATATATGGTCTGTTACATTGTGCAGACCTCATTAGTTTTACATTCAAATCTGTTCATATTAATTTTCTGATTTGCATTATTGGTTTCCAGCTTTTCCACAACTATCTCAATCAAGTACAAGTAATATCTAATTATTTTTAATGTGTCTCCAATACTCTCAGCACATGGGAGTTCTTTCTAAGCTTTCTTTGATTTTTTCCAGGTTTTCAATCATTTGTGAAGTACTACCTTGTAATTTTGTCAAACTAATTGTTGGCACCCTGCATTGAAATACCCCCACTTAGAAATACAAGAGCATATGCACACTGGCTAACTTATCAAGCTTGCCATCATGTGTAGTAAGACAACAAATTTTTCAATCTCAAAGTAATGGGTGAAGAGTTGACTTTTTTAGCTCTGCTGTCGACACAGCGTAGCTGTTCATATTACTGATTGTCCGTCGTCGTCGTCAACTTCTTCTTCGAAACCACAAGTCAAAATGTTTTCAAATTTGATATGCAAGTACCTTGGATGGTTCTTTCTCAGATTTGTTCATTTCATGTCAAAATCTCAAATTCTCTATTTTTGAAAAGTGATATTTTTGACTTGTACTGATATTTTTGACCTGCCTGGACTGATTACATTCAAACTTCACATGTGCACATCATTTTGATTCAAGATGGCTGAATGGTTGCCATATTTCTACGGGAAAAATCATAAAAATTACGAATTTCTGGCATCCGGAACTGGATCTTGGCTGTTAACAGATAAATTTTGTTCATACTTTGTACGTACATTGGATATTATGGACCTTTATGCACGTCATTTTGTTTTAATTAACTCTGTACCAGAGCAATATCTCTCAGTATGGACCAGTGCTTGTTTGACTATCAGATATGAACTTGATTAAAAAGCGTTCCTATATATATTTTAATTGGGGTTTAATTAAACTCAATTACAATGCAATACAAGGTAGAAATGTTTGCAAAGCTTAGGTTTGCAAACTTGACTTAAGGTAGCGAGAAGGGAAATTTTCACTTTTTTCTTGATTTTTCAAAAAATTATAAAACTGTTACTTTAGACCTTGATACATCATCCCAGGTTTACAAAAGATCGAAATTGCGAAATAACGTTGCTCAAATTAGTGTTTTAAAACGCTAGCAAAAAAGACTACAACTGCCGTTGCGTGGATATTTACATGTTTATCTTTGGAAGGGTTTAAATGATAACATCTTATCTGTATACTCTGTTGTTGACGATTCTGATATAACGGGTAATAAGCTTCCTGTCGCAAACAATGCATGTTTATCTAACGTCCATTGTCAGCATTATTGTCAGTCGAGACTTCGTCGGAGAAACGTGGTCTTACAGTACTCATTTCGCCCAACCTTCCACTTTTACGCTTATCGCTTAATTTCCGATCACGCGGTCTTTTCCGACCGGAAACCGACCGCATTTTAATCGCGTTTTTTTCGCTTGCTCGCTCATTGAAAACACCGACCGCTCGCCCAAACACTGATCACTGGCACATGAGTGGTCGAAATGGTGGTTTTGATAGTAAAGTGTGAACATACACAACTAGTATTAACTATTATTAAATCCTGAACGACACTTCAAATCTAATAGTTGTATGCCACTTATATCGTGAAAGCAACTGAACTGGGACCCCTTGTAATATTTTATTTTATTTTAATGAGACAGTTACGTGAAAAAAGCATAGGTATCTCCTTTTAACAGAGCAGAGAAACGAGAAAATGTTAATGATTAATTCCAAAAATAACGATACCAAATCCACGTCGGTCCACAGGCGGTCGGTCTGGTAAAATTTGACATTAAATTTTCAAAATTAAGTCACGAATGAGTTCGGTTTATACCGTATACGTACCTTAAAAGTGTTCCCACAAAAATATTTTAACCTAAAACGGCCACATGCCCTGACAAAATCGAACATGTATGAATAATTTATTGCGCTTAAAAAACGTGTCAAATTCAGTTATAGCCATAATTATTTGGTGGCCAGTCGATGAACAATTTGAAACTCAGGATTCACACGGAAGTCCTTCAGGGCTGAAAATTATCGACCCTACTCTGGTTTACTTTATTTACCAACTTGCAGAGAAGACTGATTGGCCGTGGACTCTAATGTATCTCAGCCTAGTATTTTCTTTTTGAACTGAGGTCAAATTCCATCCGTTTATCAAAATTAACCGATGTTTTTATCAGCGAATAATTTTGAAGCCTGTCACACCACAAAAAAAAAACATGGTATGGTACGACGACCCTTCAATTAGCGTCAAATATGCTTTGTTACAACAATTATTGATTGGCTGAAAGTCACATGATCGGAGCACGACCTGGG